TTGGGTTACTACCCAGAAGGTTGGGTTAAACATTTAACCCAACCGCTGGGTCAAAACAGCCCAATTGCTGGGTTTGTCCCTATTTTACCCAGCACTGGGTTGAATTTAACCCAGCATTTTTTAGTGTAACACCAGTTGGAAACATGGACTTTTTAAATTCTTTCCAGGAATTTATTGTGGTTAAATATACTCTTTCTGATTAATTTACAGTATATGCCATCCCATCACCCACCCCAACATTTTAATTCAAATTCAAAACAGCAAATAGAATTGGAATCAAATATAGAAATGCATAAGCTGATCAATCTAAAATAATGTTTTTCATATATATATTTTTTTGTAATGTAGGCTATTGATACTATATATATATGGATACCATATACATACTGTATATCATATCATCACATATATCATCTAGTGTTCATTAGATTGATCACAAATCCAATTCAGAATCCAGATGTGAAATTTGTATTTTTCATTTAACTCTGTTTTTTTTCTTCTTCTTATAAATCCTTTATATTTGCACAAAGATGCATACATGTTTTCTGTTACATGTTTGTTCATGTATGGTAGGGATTTCACCCCATGCAGACAATGTACATTTTGTTGAAATGGTGATACAACACTGCTCGGTCTTCCCTTATTTTTTTTCTTCGTGTATTTGAAAATGCTTTGACGTCATAAAGCACGAAAATTTGATTATCAAAGAATCACTCCGGCCCCCAGCATCCTTCTCTGTCCTCTTGCAGCACACACACTTACACACACAGTAGAACATAAACCTATCACTGTATATCAAAGACAAGTAATCGCTGGTTCACTGATGTGCCGAACATCTGATGGGAGGAGAGGTCGAAGCTAGAGCAGCAGTTACCACACACACACACACACACACGCACGCACGCACGCACGCACACACACACACACACACAGTCTGAAAGAATGGGCCACATTTATATGCTATCCTAGTATGGCTATTCCAAACCTAGTGGATCGCAGAATTGAGAAGACACAGAAGCGCTCTGTTCTGTGAGCAGGGAATGCTGAGCTCTCTCTCTCTCTCTCTCTGGCCCAAATAGCAGATATGGAGCTCACTGTGTCATTTGGGAGCAGGGTAATGGATGGAAGCAACTGTGTGACTGTCCTTGTGTTGGACTGATTTGTTACTGTAGATGTTAATTTTTCCACTCGCTGCAAAACTGTGTGTGTGTGTGTGTGTGTGTGTGTTTTGGACTGTAGCTTATAGACTGACGTTTCATTGCAATCCATTTACGTTGTTGCTATAACATGTTCCACTCTTTTCGGAAGACTTTCTGCTAAATGTTGGAACAGGGCTGTGGGTATCTGCTCCCATTCAGGTGTGGTAGCCTCAGCGAGGTGCTGATGTTGAGCAGGAGATCCAATTCATCTCAAAGGTCTTCAGTAGGAATTCAGGTTTGGTCATTGTGAAGGTTGTGATGTTTTTATTTTACACTTTTTTAAATATTTTTATTTTTGTATTATGAAGAAAACGTTTACTGTAGGTATAATATTGTCATGTTGTATTCTTTAATTTTAATCAATTTTATTTTTTTACTGACTAAAAAGACATTTTAGTCAACAAAAGTAACATTTTAGCTCAACAGAGAGTGCAAAATATAAATAAATAAACAAATAACCAAATATTGTTAAAATCTAGAGGGTTTTCTTTTTTCTTTTCATACTTTTGTCAACTGTATGTTTTAATTAGTGTCACGTACATTTACCTTCTTGCCTTCATTAATGTTAACAATAGAATCAATTATTTCAACAAATTATACATTAGTTTAAACAAGTATTAACATTTAACAGCAGTGTTTGAAAACTTGTTTTTAGAGTGTTTTTATGGAAAAAGTGAATTCACAATGTGACACATTCTGACTTATCTGTATAAGTTAAAGTGCATTTGTTCTTTTGTGTCATTTTTTGGAGATAGGCTACAAGTTAAAATATTACCTTATCATATATAGTTTTTTAAAGAGAGTTTTATTTTCCTTTTTTTAACTTCTTCATAACTTAACATGTCAACTAACAATTTCATCACTGGTTTTGTTGATTATCAACACAACATGCCAGTCAAGTTCTTTCATGCCAGACCCAGTGAACCATTTCTTTATGAGCTTCATTCAGGGTTTCCGCGGGTCTTAAAAAAGTCTTAAAAAGTCTTAAATTGTACAGGAAAGTCTTAATTATGATTTCAAGAGGTCTTAAATTTGGGGACGGAAAGACCAGAATTGCGATATGGCTGAATGTGACGATTAAACTTCAAAAGGCTACGATTTAATTAAATAAACATGAGCGCTGCAGGTTCAAAGTCTGTGCTGCGCTGCTTTGTGTTCTGCCATTACAGGGGAAACAGTTATATTTCAACCAAACGCTCCACCTGCTGGCATGAGAATGAATGAGCATTTTCAATAAAACTGATGTTTTGTTCAGAGTTCAGACAAATGCAAAAATCGACCTATGTTTTTACCCTGCAAACACGCAGAGCTTTAAATGTGAACTGGTGGATCGATAAGAAGATAATGCATTATAAAAATCTAAATAGTAGGGGTGTGCGATGGTCTGCGATAATATCGTAATTGTT